ATTCATTCATTCATTCAACAAATGCACTATTCTGTGTAGTGTGGACTCAAAGAAGACAAAGTCTCTGCCTTCATGGCATTTACATTCAATTGGGGGGAAAGACAGATAAGTGAATACATGAATACATACTATCAGTTAATGATAGATAGTATGAAAATTGTAAAACGGGGATTATTCTAGACAGTGTAGATGAAAGAAAGCCCTGTCTAACCGAGCCTACATCCTAATCCTAAATAAATGAATCAAAAGCATAATTTCAGGTAATGACGAGTGCTATAAAAAAATTTAAGGGTGTGTGTGTGTGTAGGTTAAGATGTTTAGTTTTTAGAAAGGGTTGTCTGAGAGACAGAGACAAGATTGATACAGGCAGCCTAGGTCCCGAGGACAAAGAGGGTCCAGCAGGACCAGCCAAGAGGGTCCTTGCTAAGCATAGCAGGATAGGGATCAAATGTGAGCCAGTGGGAAGTGTAGCAGAGTTTAGTGAAGACATGTAGAGAGTGCAGGTACAGACAGTGTCCAGGAGACTTCGAAAGCAAAGGAGAGAGAGTCTCTCCTTTGTTTGGGTCTAGGGTTTTTACTGATGATTGTGGTCTGGTGCATATGTTCTCTCAGGCGTCTAGAAGTAGTCTAAACAAGGACAGGTCCAGATGTCCATCATAAGTCACTGATTCCCTGGAGCCAGGAGGTCTTGGTGTTGAGATGTCTAGTGCCAGTGGTCTAGAATACACACATGATGGCCTTGCCTGGTCATTCCTACCCAGTCATTCCTGAGGTGTTATCTATTGTGCTAGGAGACTCCAAAGAAATCATGAACTCCTTGTCCTTTATAAGGAGGACATACATTAAGGTGTGTGTGTGTGTATGTGTGTGTGTGTTGGGAGCGGTGCAGCTCCTAGCAAAGACTAGGAGGAGGAAAAGGAGTTAAAACCCAGTTTTTTGTTTTGTTTTGTTTTTTTTTAATGGGATCCCCTCAGTTTCCCTATCTCAAGATGACATTTTAGGAGCTCTGAGCCTCCTCGTGAATAAAGTGATAAAGTTTGTCATGGGAACATCTACTTCTGTGAGAAGGGTGAAGGGACAACAGTGCGAAGGACAGAGACGGAGTGTGCTTAACATACATAAGGGAAAGTAAAGAGCCCAGCTGGAGCAGAGTGTGAAAACAGAAGTAGGCAATAAGGTTGGAAAGGTGACCAGGCACCACATAATGTAGGGTCCTGAGGGCATGGAAAGAACTACTTTTTATGTTGAGGACAGAGAAAATACTTTGCACTGATTTATGTATTAAAAGGCTCACTCTGGCTAATTTCCCAATAGAAAGCAAGAAGACAGGATTAAAAAGTCTTGGTTTAGGCTGGTAGAGGAGGATGGTAAGATTAGAAACAAGGGGAGATTGGATGAATAGTGACGTCCGATGTCTTTCTAATGAATGCTAGAGTAACAAAATGAAAAGAAGAAAACAAATTCTTAAGACACTGTGGAGGTACAGTAAATTGGAAACCGAATACAATAGCAATATGGTTGGAGAGAATGGGCAGCTTGGAGGCTCTGAAAATTGGTAATTGGGAGGATGGTGGTGTCACCTACCCGATCCCAAGACCTGAGCTTTACTGCCTGAACTCACCTCCCTCTGTTCTACATTTTTCCTTAAGCTCTTCCTCCTGCCTTATCTCTTAACTCAGGACCTCCAGCCTGCCCAGACTACTCAGACCAGTTTGAACGTAACTCCCTGTCATGAACCTGCGCAGGCAGATCATGGAGTGACCTTTAGAATGACCACTAATTACCCTTGCCTCATTCTAATACTCAACTTTTGCCCAAAGGGGAGCACAAACTTCATTTGCATAACATACAATACATGTATAGGCGTGTTTCCTTAAAGGACATGCGTGACCTTATTCCCTCCTCTATATACAATGACAAAGATCCCCTTTTAAAATATTCCTCCTAAACCTAAATAAAAGGAACCTATTCACCCTTGCTCAAGAGTCATGGCTTTGGAAGTTATTTCCTATGATCTCCTTATTTACTGCAAATAAAGTTCCCTTTGTGCAACAACTCAACTGATACAGTTTCTATCTGTGACTCAGCAAGGAGTGAACTCACGTTGGTTTGGTTACAGTGATACCACCACTAATTACAATAAAAGAAATTAAGATAAATTTGGGAGATTAAGTGGCAGATGGTAGATTTTGATTATGTTGAGTGTATCTCTATAGAAACCATAAATTTACAGATAAATAAAAGTGGAGGCTACTTTCACAAGTCTCAAGGAAAAAGCAACGGGCTATTCTTTTGCAAGAAATTACTATGGGCAAAAATGCTCACATAATAGTGGGAAATCAAAAGCCTGGGAGATAGAATTTCTTGGTAAATTCCTTTAAAAAAGCCGGCATACCGTAGCATATAATAGTAACTATCGAGCTTGACTGACAAAGTTCAAATTCCTGGTAACACGTTTTTTAGTTGTATGACTGACTGAGCTCTCCTGGACTGTTTCTTCAGGTGAAATTTGTTATAATAGGAGTTATCTGATAAGATTATTGTGGAGCAGGAGTTCGTAATCTGGAATCCATGAAATTTGGGGGCATCTGTGAAACTTTAATTGAAAAAAAAATTAACTGTATTTCTGTTAACCTCTACTGAAAATCTTGTTTTCTTCAATTATAAAGTGGAAGACAAAGCATGGTAGTATTAGCAGTATATATGGCTTTGTTTCCTGTAGAAACTAAAAATAATTTTGCATGGCAGGACAGTAGTAGATATTTTGAAATACTGTTTATCATCATATTACCATATTTATTAGAATTGCTGTTAGGTCTGCTGGATTTCATGTGATTGCAAAATTTATTTTCAGCCCTCAGGGTACTTAGTTGGCCACATATCCTACAATTCTGTGCCTCTTGGTCAATCATAATCACACTGTGAAGTCTGAATGTTCGTACATTGGTTCCAACATGTACCCTTGCTTTCCAGCTTTCCCCAGATAGAAATGTTTGAAAGGAGGTGAAAGGAGGTGAATTGTTTGTGTTGATAATGGTATTTAATTATAAATGATTCCTTTGTAATCTTATGAATTTAATTTTTGCAGTTAGAAATACTGTTTTAAGATTGGGCCAGTAGGTTTCATTAGACTATCTGACATGTTCATGATAAAAGTTAAGAGAAGAAATCTTGAGGTAGAATAAAAGCTACACTAGAACAGTAATGGAGGATAGTTGGAAGAAAGGCAGGTGGGGACAATCCCTCAGCCCTCCTCCCCCCAAGGAGAAACCACCCTTAAAAGGATTTTACATCACCCAGTGTTATGCCCGAGTTTTCGAGTCTGAGAGACCACCAAGGAGCCAAGCGTCGATGCAATCACACGAGGGTTTATTTGACAAGCTTAAGCTTGGACCCAAGCATACCCGACACAGTGGAGTAGGGACTTGGACCCCGAACCAGATTACAGTCAGAGTTTTTAAAGGCAGAATAAGGGTGGACTTGTCGGTGGGTGAGGACAAAGGGGATTATGGATGATGTAAGTCTCCAAGGACTTTCGGAAGCAAGGTCTCCAGGACCTTGAAGGGCTAGCTATTGTTGGGAGAAAGGTTATTTATTACCAATAATAGAAATCTTCTCGTGAGACCCTTTAGATGTATCAGTGGACCATATGCTTGGGAATGATTCTCGACACTATCTTGGAGGTTTAGAGCTAAAGTTTCCTAAAGGAATTGTTAAAGTAGACTTACAGGATTCTGGCTGGACCTGTCGGGGTAGGGGGTCGGTCAGGCTAGGATTGTCCTTAGCAAAACCTCAAGGTGAGGGCAGTTGAGTCCCCAGGGGAGAGCCACTGTGTCTGATTCAAGGGCTTGTCAGTAGGTAAGGAATTTTAATGATTTTCTTCTGCCTCTGTTTCCCACATCAGCTAAACTTGAGGTGGGATGGCCTTAATTTTCTTGGCCTCCACACCAGGAAGGAGCCCTCCACACTGTCCCACGTGATGGGTAGATGGCATAAACCTGACTGGATGATGGAGGGTTAATCAGATTAAAATAACCCTCCAACAAGCCCATGAAAACCCTCAGATCTAAACGCCAAGTTGGCAACCCTCTTGGATCCCCTTCCCTCTTCGGGAGCTTTGTACTGTCACTCAATAAACTTTGCTTTCTTCTCCATTCTTCTCTGGTCTACCTCTTCATTCTTCCAAGCTGCCTGACCAAGAACCTGCACCGAAGGAAAAGAAATCCTTTAAGGACAGTACTTGACCCATACCAGATATCCAGTAAACAGTCTGCCCTATCGTTCTTAAAATATTTCAGAGAGCAGGGTTAAGTCCTTTTCATTTTTGCATTCCCAAGTGTCTAGTACAGCCGTCTGCACTTTGGCACTCCACGGAAACTGAATGAATGAATGGAATGGTTTGAAGTTTGGATCCTCAGGCCCCTCAATTGGGACTGCAAGGAACAGTTGTGAAGTTGCCTGTGGTTAGTATGCATCCGCGGGATTATATTATGTGGATTATGTTAGAGGCGTGAGAGGGCTCAGTATGGGAGCCACAGATGTGTCTCTAAAAACGTCCCAACGGAAAGGGAGACTGCCCCTTGGCCACGGCGGCGAAGCGCTTATTAATTCCTTAAATCCCTTCTCCATCATCCTAGAAGGCAGGTCTGTCCGTGCCTCCAGGTAAACAGGAGTTTACTTCTGCTGGACTGAAGAGGCCCCTCGCATATTCCTGGAACCTCGCACTGGATTCAGTAACAGGAGAGCGTTGAGCCAGCCAGCTGGAGAACCGTGGCCCTGGGCGGCGTGGCTCTCCGGGAGAACTCTGGCGGTGGGCGCCGCGCTGCGCGCACGAGGCCCCTGCTTCCCTCGCCACGCCCACTTCCTGCCCCATCCCGGGCCTTTCCAGGTCCCTTCTCCCGGTGAACCGGATGCTCCGTCAGTTTCCTCCTCCGCGTCCTCGGCGGCGTCCGCTTCCCTGGCGAAGCCGCAGGCACCCGCGAGGGCACAGGCAGGGGCTCCCGGCGGTTGGCCTGGCAGGGGTAGGACGGCGGTAGGAGCTGGGCGCGCACGGTTACCGAGCGTGGAGGAGACACTGCCCTGCGGCGATGGGTGCCAGGGGCGCTCCTTCACGCCGGAGGCAGGCGGGGCGGCGGCTGCGATACCTGCCCACCGGGAGCTTTCCCTTTCTTCTCCTCCTGCTACTTCTCTGCATCCAGCTCGGGGGAGGACAGAAGAAAAAAGAGGTATAGTGAGTCCTCTGGCCTTCCGGGTGGGCCGGGGCTGACTGGGGCTCGCTGGGGCTCGCTGGGGCGGGCCGGGGCGGCGGCGTTGCCAGGTAGCCTCGCCGCGTTGCTAGGCAGCCGGGCGGCTGGGCGTGGGCGACGGCGGCCTGCGGGCTAGAGCCCAGCGGTTGCGAGGCCTTCGGGCCACGTAGTCGCGCTTGTGGGGTTAGCCTGGTGTTTTCTCAAAAACACTAAAGCATCACCTTTGACCCTGCGCCTGAGCACCGCACAGCTTTCAGACTCGCGTCGCTTTTGACCCTCGGAGGCCGAACTTCCTGCCCTTGAGTCACTAAAGGGGGTGTGTTGGATGTGAAAATACCTCTTAGGAGTATTTGCAAACCCACGAGAGAGAAATACTTGGTCTTTACGTTCAGTACCCAGCTGCCTTCGTTATTCGTTTCAAGGGGTAGCGGAGCATTTTGGAAATGTATATTAAGTTTGTATCCATAATTACATACTATTAAAGCTGTAGGTTTATTTTTCCTTATGTTGAACTAATATAATGGTGAGAACAAACTCACATCATTTTAAGTTCGGTAAATTTGTGAAGAGCACCTGATTTCAGTCTTAGTCCTCGAATAACTTTGGTAAGAGGGTTGAAGTCACTATATTTAAAATAGTAATTTGTGAATTTCAGGTATCCATCTTTGCCTTGGATATTCAATCGAGCAGGCTCAGAAAAAAAAATTACTTGGAAATGCGAGCAGTGTTTCTGAAAGTATATTGTTTTAGTAAGAGTATTCGCTTATTCAAGGTTTTCCTGGTGAAATATTGCACACACGTGACTCAAAATCTAATTCGGGTTTAAAATGTTTCCAGGAGTTTCTTGATAGCTGGGTAGAGAGTGAAAAAAAAAAAAAAAACAGCTTCATGTGTAAAATAATTGTCTTTACTCTTCGCCTGAAACAAATCTGAACTCAGTACTAACTTCTTCCCGTTAGCTTTTTACTTTTAACATGAAAGCAGGCCTTACAAAATTCTTCATGGAGTTCTGGTGCGAGGTTTAGAGAAGAACTCTTAAAATTAAAACTGTACTTAAAAAATAATTTAAAGATTTTTTTCTTTAGCATTTGGTATTTATATACCACATCCCAAGAACTTTAGGTGTGGTGGTTTTTCTTGAGGAAGGGAGATTAAAAAGGTTTTTTTTTTGGGTTTTTTTTTTTTTTTTTTTGAGGATTACCACAGCAGAGGGCAGTTGAAAATGATGAGGAATTCCATAGGAATTTTGATGTTTTACTTCTTAGAAAGATCACTGTGGGGGCACTTGGGTGGCTTAGTCCTTTGAGCATCCTCCTCTTGATTTAGGTTTAGGTCTTAATCAGGGTCTTGAGATGATCTCCGTCTGTGCAGTGCTCAGCAAGGTGACTGCTTGAGATTTCTCTGTCTCCCTCTACTCCTTCCCCAACCTTCCATCTTGCTTTTGCAGTCTCTCTCTCAAAATAAATAAATCTTAAAAAAAAAAAAAAAGGGAGAAAAAGATAACTCTGATCATAGTAACTTTCAGTTGGAAGAAAAGTCAGAAAATCTGAAAAGGATACATCTTCAAAGCATCTTGGTATCATTGTATGCTACTTTAACAGGTGAAAACGCTTGTTAATTTAGTATAATAACAATAAATTAACATCTGTTCCATTAATATATTTTTCATAAAACAGGTTTTAAATGAAAAATTAGGAAGAAAATTGTTAAGGATTAGGAAAGGATGTCTTCCGGCATTGTTTTTATTTATCTTAAACAGGAGAGTCTAATACTAGTATGTGGTGGTTTTGCAGAATACACATATTTAGGGAAAAGAAGAACAAAGTAACAAATGAAGTTTTAATACTTCATGAGTACACATATCTGGAATGTAGTATATGAGAAAAAACTCACTAAGTTATACAAATTTATTTGTGAAGTTCAGAGCCCCTGATTTCAATCTTAGTCCTTAATAACTTGGAAGGTTGTGGTGTCTTTCAATGCTAGAAGAAACACTTTCTTTATTAGAAATATTGGAAAGTGGCTGGTCATCATTGTGGTGCTTTTCTAAGGGTATTCCAGGGTTGCTTTGAACATGTCACTTCATTCCCTGCTGAATTTAGAACCTGATGCCCGGTACAAAATTTGACACCATTGAACCACCAAGTGTAGCAGTTGGAACTTAATTTATTACAATAAATATTACAAACTTAAGTGCTAGAAGAGTTGACTTGGCATGAGTAGCGTATCCCTTTATACTGGGGAGGCCAAATTGACATTCATTTTTAAATTTTTAAATTATTTTTAAAATTAAATTATTTTTCAGTGTTCCAAAATTCATTGTTTATGCACCACATCCAGTGCTCCATGCAATACTTGCCCTCCATAATACCCACCACCAGGCTCACCCCCCCCCCCAAAACCCTCAGTTTGTTTAAAGTTGAACCTGGAACCAAGAATGGATGTAGTTGTTTTTAGGGAAGTAATAGTTATGAATAATAGCTACCACTATAGGTTTTCAAGTCAGGCAAATTGTCTAGTTATAACTCAGTGATTATCTGATTTTATGACATCAGGCAAACCATTTAACTTCCCTGAATTTTAACTTTTGTTTTAAAACAGATATACCTACATCTCAGGGTTGTCACTGGTATTTGAATACGACTGTATATAAACTACTCAGTGTAGTGCCTTTAACATAGCAGATGATCAATACTCCTAGCTATTATTATGTGGTCTTCATTTAAATGGTTAGACATGATGACAAAATCCTAAAATATAAAATATTTTTCAAATATTTTTGCTAAAGAAATAATTTTATCATTATTATAAAATATATAGTTACTAGAATAAATTGCCTGTTTTTATTATGAAACACAGAGTTCCAAACTCTTACGATATTTGAGAACTTCCCAGGAGATTTTGCAACATGGAAGAATTGGTGGTATTTGTGAGTGTTTGTATGTCCACATATATGTTTTTGTATCTGTTTCTTAATGAAGACATTTCATTAAAAAATAATTTTGTTGTTTCTCTAAGAATATAGTGAAGAGCAATGGATGAGTGAATAGGCAAAGAAGATTGGAGATTTTTATAATCACTTTCCTTGATTACATTGAATAGAGTCATTAAACTAATTTTTGAATCCTCATGTGAAGTGATAAGAATTTGTGGGAGTCTATAGTTTCTTGGTAGTATATCATTTGCATATGTAGTGCATCATTTTCTTTTTATTTTAATGGCGTCTCTATTTTTTACATTGTTAACATGTAACCAGTTAATCAGCTTCATTTAGAATCTATAATAATACCTGATAATATAAAAGGAGCTCAAATTCTGTAATTATTTTCAGTGGATTTATTGACTTTAATGTTATCAAAAGAAGCTATGAAAATAATTTATCCTTTACATTAGCTAATTGACTATGACATGTAGGTAACAATGAGTACGCATTATGAAAAATTGAGCAGCTCATAAATATTTTTGCAAAGTAATATGATTGTCTAAATGAAATATCTCAATTGCTTCTGACAGAACTTCTGTATGTGATTAATATTTCTAAGTACATTTTACACTGAGGTGAATATATCCAGTTATTTTTTTAGTGGCATAGCTGTAAAATAGAGACTTTACTGTCTTAGGCAGTGAAGAAAAGGGAGAGGATGGAAGTGAGCAATAGATTATATCTTTAAGCGAAGAACTTAAGTTGAAAAAGAAGTAAGTTTGTAAATATATGAGCACAACTTTAAGAAATGCATAGTAATTTTGCATAGATGTGTATACACAGACCACAGATTATGCCGATGCAGGTAGTTTCATCTAGGCTAAATTTTGTATGTATTAACTCCTTGCTGAGTAGTTGGAAGTGACAGGTCTTACTCAGAATGGCCAAAACCACTTGTCAAGTACTGTGAAGGCTTAGCCTGCTGCACTTTCACAGATGATGGCAGAAGGCATGGAATTCCTGGGTCACAGGTGGACAGGTTATCACTCACAGCCTCAGATTTGCCAGAGTATCAGCATTTGTGCTGATGACGCAGGCTAAATGACCCCTACAGGTGTAGGAAATTTTGCAGCAGCAGAAGGATCTTGAGTTTAAGGAGCTCAAAGTTTTTTATAATGGGTTTGTTTGACCTTTGGCCCGAAGGTGACATTATCTTTATTAAAGTGGAAAGTAAAAAAACCTCTTTGTTTTAGACAGGACACTGTCTTCCAAGGCTTGTGTGCTATATACATCCTTGAAAAGGTGTTCAGAACAAAGGCAGTTAGTACTTTGCTTGCATGTTATGTAGAAATCTATGACTTGTTTCCTTAAGTAAGAGATAAAGAGATAGTAACTTTGTCAAAGAGAATTTTGGGATATTTTCCTCTCTATACATACACCACCAGCACATTCAGTCCCATATATGTGATCTGTTCTACATGGAAGATAGAAAGGGAAAGGGGAGAAATGTGTAACTTGAGCCACAGATTTATCAGTCGTTAATCTTTTAACACATTTACTTTTGTTATTTTCTCCGTATTTAGTGAGTTTGGATGACTGTGACCCGTATGCCAGTGACTGACATTGGCTACTTTGGTGGTCTCCATGGTTTATTTATCTTATGATTGCTTCTTTCCATAAGACTCCCTCCTGGAGCATCACGTTAAGTCCACCAAGATAGAAAATTTACCTTTGGCCAAGTGTAGGAATGGCTGTTGTTCCCGGGCTAGAGAACAGGTAGATCATGAACAAATGTGTATGTTAACATAACACTGAGTGTGTGTGTGCACGCGCGTATGTGTGTGCATGTGTGTATGCACTCGGCTTGCAATGAGGGGACCAAATAGTATTTATGTAAGTATCTACTTTTTATTTTATCTGTTGGGCAAAATTTCTGCGTCTTCTCAAATTGAGCATATCTGAAGGGGAGCTCCTTTTTTTATTAATTTTTTAAAGGATTTATTTGGCAGAGAGTACAAGCAGGGGGAGCCAGAGGGAGAGGGAGAAGCAGGCTCCC